AAATCATGATGTGGTTACTCAAGATAATCCACAGGCCTTGTTGTGAGCAGTTTCATGTAGGAACTATTTTCTTTCTACTAAATTACACCCACTAACTGTATCACCACGCAAAAGGAAGCATGTATCTAGTGCTAGCTCACCTGGCACCATTGAGCTAGCTAATAGGGCTGTCCCCTAATAGTTGACCAGACATTAGTTGTCCAGAAAGGTCATTAGTCGGCAAGATGTCATCTGTCACTTAGGTGCACGAAAAAAACAAACTTTAAAAAAACCCATAAAGCTCTATTAGGAGCTGCGCCTTGTCAAAATAAATCAAAAACTATATGACTGGACCATGTGGGAATTTAATTTGAAAGGACAGACACAGGAAGTGATAGGATTTATGTGTTATCTTGAGTAACTATAACTCTATTTTAGACTAGATATAATTAATGATGATCAATGACTTTTGGAAACCATCGTGGTCTTCCTTCTGTCCATCATCTCATTTTCCTGCTCTTGTTTCTGTAGGTGGAAAGGAACTTCCTGTCCCCCTACGTGTCTCCCAGAGAGAGTCCTTTCCGCCACATCCTGCTGGGCTCCGGACCTCCCACTCTCAAGGCCCTGTCCAACCACCTTGAAGCTCTCAGGACCGACCACCCTGACGCAGACGCCGACCTGTTCCGTAACCAGTTTGCCCTGGCGACCTGGACCATTCAGGGCTGTGCCAACTCGCTGGCAGGGGACATCTGGGCTATGGATAATGCAATCTAAGAAAAAGTAGTTTCCCCCCAGTCTCCTCTGTTAATAATTTGACCCTCTTATTACAACTGACAGTCGGCTGTGATCATTAACAGTCACAGATGCACAGCTTTTTAAATTTAAGATGAGGAAATGATCAAAGTGGAGCCATTACTAAATGAGAATCACCTCTGTTCCATAATTTCAACGCTCGAGTGATGAGCTCATTTTATTTCCATGAAGCCAAACATTAATGATAAAGATGTACTTAAGCCTTACGCCTTAACAAAAAAGTTTAGTGGGTCATTTTCTTTTCTTTTCTTCACTTTAGAAAAAAAAATACTTCAATAATTGCCGCATTCTGAATACTTTGGTGCTAATAACGTCTACCTTCACATCACCACGTCATGTGGCAGCACTTCTTGAATTGGTGTTACCCAACGAATGAGTTGAATGTAGTGACATTGAGGCTTTTTCAGCACAGTATCAGGTCATTAATACAGGAGAGGCTGTATTCTCCAGCTCAGAGATGAATGAAATTCAAAAGGCCAATAAGACATTATAAGCTAACATCCACCTGTTTACCATAATTAATACAAATCTAAACTGCTGGTATTAAACCCACTGGTGCTGCCTAATCCTTGTGTTCACATCTGAGCTGGTTTCTGTTGGTAGCTCTAATTTCATACTGTGCCGAAATCTACTACTTGACTCACCATCAGAGATTCACAAGTTGCTGAAAAGGACCGCAGATTAATTAACAATAACACAGCAGCAGTGTTTTTCACAGAACACAACTAGGAGTAGATTTTGGACAATCAGCTGATGTTACTTGGCACCGTTACACCTGTGCTGCATTTATCTTTTAAAAGAGTTCTTCACCTTCAAAATGAGCTTTTGTGTATCAGTTACTCACCATGTCACCTTGAGTTCGCGAAGAAAACTTTGATTTTCTTGATTGCCTCCACAGTGAACAAAGAATCCAAAAAGGCGAATATTCTTCATGAATTAAAGTTAAAAGGGGTGGCGTGTAACAACAGCAAAATTTTATCAATACATCTGTTTACAAACAACTCGTGTAGTATAATCCAAGTCTCATTAATCCAGTCATATGCTCAGTACTTCCCAAACACATGCACTTTTGTTAAAACTAAGGCTGTCGAAATACTGGTCCATGGTGCCCTTTGACCTGGTGTGCCACAGTGGCTTTTTCCTGTGACAGAAGCAGACGAGGAGATGCTGCTTGGACCCATGAATGGAACATTTACATTAAAAAAAAAAAAAAAAAATGCCCAAATGGAACAGTTGATAGGAGCACTGTTCTCTGCAGTTTCTGGAGTAAGGAATATCGTACCACCCGAGCACTTAAAGTCTGAAATATCACCTCAACACAAAGCATTTAGCAGTGAACCAGGAGGTCCGAGCTAGCACAGCTTATGATGATAGCGCTAGCAGCCAGCCTCGTCAAGCCACACTCAGCCAGGCGTTCAGACACAAGCTGAGTGTGACTGCCTGTGACCGACTAACTCACTCCGTTGCAAAATGGACTGCAGGCCTGTTTCTGTGTTAGAGGACAATCACAAAGTCTGATACGATTTTGATCTGCGATCGATTTGAGATGAATATCTTCATTGTCTGCCTGGTGCTATGCAGTTAGCACTGTTTGAATGTTTAGGAAGATGTGCTAAAGGCAGGGTACACCCTGGACAGGTCACCAGACCAGGGACCATCTTACTTTGAGGGGACAATGCTAACCATCCATGCTACTCATCCATACGTGAGACTGTTGGTACTGACGTATTGGGAATTGTAAGGTCCTAGCAGAAATGCGTGTTTTTGTGAAGTGCTGAGAATACGACTGGATAAATGAGACTTGGATTCTACCGCACCAGCTGTGTGAGTTTGTAAACAGCTCTTTTAATATAGTTTTGCTGTTGTTGAACGCTGTCCCCGTTTAGTTCAATTCATGAGGCATGTTCGCCTTTTTTTGGATTCTTCGTTCACAGTGAAGGCATGTGAGAAATTCAAAGTTTTCTTCATGAATTCAACCTAACGTGGTGAGTAACTGATAGTCATTTTTTGTGAGTGAAGTGTTGATCTAAAAGTCCTAACTTCATGCAGCAATTTAAAAAAAGAAATCTGAATTTGATAATTACCTCAATCGGCCGCCTCCTGACATTAATTTTCTGTAGGCCTTTCAAAAAATGGGGAGAAGGTCTCCAACCATGTGGCACTGAAACAAACCGTACGTCGTATTTATTGTGTTATTTATTTATCAGTGGCAGGGTTCACTATAAATAGTTTTTTTATTGCCTTTTATAAGAAAAAAATAATAATAGTGTATAATTATCGGGAGCAGTGCCTTCCATAATTATGACAGTTATACTGTCGAAATGACAAAAGCAGCATCTGCTAACAGAAGCGTACGTGTCGACCGACGGCCGGTACTGAGCACTGAACGATCACCGCACAACTCTGAGGTAATTTTTTTAATAACTGACACTGGATTGGTCTTTAAGACAAGATCAGCTCACATATCACACCTTGGAAAGTATTACCGAACACCTCTGAGTGTCAGTAGCGGTCCCTTGGTACACGTACGCCTCTTGTCCTGACAGCATTATCGGGAGCAGTGTCTTCCATAATGTGAAGAAAAAGAAGAAGGTAGTTTTTGCCTACCAGTGTGCGTTCGTATCGGAGGCAGTGCCCTCCATATTTCACTGTAGGAGTGGATGTTTTTATTATCGGGAACAGTGTTTCCCATAATGTCTGTATATACGGTACATTGCTACATGTTCTCCACATCTTTAGATCACTTTCCATGCTTGTGTAGTTTCCTGCGAGGAAAAGTTTTAACATCAGCTCTTATGAAAGCATCTCCCGTCCGTCTCATTAGCGAGGTGAAGAGGCCGTCTTTGCTTTGTCTGGGTTTCCTTTGTGAGCTCATTTTAATCACACGCTGATTATGTGTTGTCTTTTCTTTGGGCTTCATGATTTGGAGGGTCTTTGCTTTAAAGAAAGAAAATGTTAGACATGTTGGGACCACTGGTTACAGTGGTGTGGTCCATACTTCCAGAGATCACCACTCTGAAAATTCGTGTTTTGAAAGTTGTTCCTGCTGTTTTGATGTGTTTATTCATTCAGAGATTTTTCCTTGTGCCTTTTTGTTTCACGACTGCATTTTAGAGCTGAGTTTCTACAGTACAGTACTACAGAAGTTTTGGAGGATGTGTATTTGGCTTGTTTTGTTTAGTTTTGACATTTCTGTATTTTTTCCCCCCTGTTGCTGGCTAGAATCAAGTTACTGGTTTAAAGGCCTGTTATGCTATAGCAGCTTTAGATAAAGTATGAGAATTTGTGAAATAGAAAGTAAAAATCAATGTAAATGGGATTTAAAAATTACATATTTAATGTTACAGTCCTTTAGCTAATCTGCTAAATCTGGTCACTCATATTTAGTTTTTTGTTTTATTGTATGAAAACCACCATGTCTCAGCAGAAAACCCTGAATCAGTAACAATTTTAAAATGATGTGTTAACCATTCCTACATTCATGGTTTGAGTGATTTCTGGGATTGCTGGGATATAATGAGATATGTTCTACATGCACACATAAGAGTTGATCTACAGTATTGGTTCATGTTTGACAATGACAACATGGATAAAGATATTTGGAAATTGTTAAAATAACAATACATTTTTTTTTTCTTTATACAGATTTGCTTAGCTTCACTTTTTTGTTGCTGCAATAAACGATCACATCACAACTGTCGAGTCATGGTTTGATTATTCCTCTAAATTATCTATCTGCTATCAGTTGTTCCTTTTTTCTTTTAGAGTTACATAAAGCATTAAAGGGACAGTTCACCCCAAATCAAAATACATATTTTTCCTCTTACTTGTAGTGCTGTTATCAATCTAGATTATTTTAGTGTGAGTTGCAGAGTGTTGGAGATATCAGCTGTAGAGATGTCTGCCTTCTCTCCAGTATAATGGAACTAGAGGGCACTCAGCTTGTGGTGCTCAAAGCGCCAAAAAATCTATTTGAAAAACTCAACATCAATGTCTCTTTCCAGAAATCATGACCTGGTTACTCAAGATAATCCACAGACCTTGTTGTGAGCAGTTTCATGTAGGAACTGTTTTCTTTTTACAAAACTACATCCTCTGGCATATGTCCATAGACCTTCAGCTCCGTTGAGTTACGCCAGTCCAGTGTTTCAACGTCCAGGTCAATAAGACCATGCTTGCCATTAGGTGGCTGGTGTTTGGGCAGCTGGTCATTATGTGTTCCACAGTTTGTAGAGGATCCCGCATTCGTAGTTGGCACTGTCCACGAGACCCCGTTTTTGCATTGCTGCCCCGGCGCGTCCTGAGCCTGTGCTTAGGCGATTGAGGGTTGTCCATTGCTTTCGGGTCAAGTGCTGGCGGGGCACATCTGTGGGGTCTTCAGTGTAGTGGTGGAGCCTGATGGTTCTGCTGACTTTCACTGGTCCCTCCATCTTGCCTTGACCCAGGCAATCTTCAAGGTATCAGATGATGTTGTATGGAGCAGTTCTTGGGCATGTGTGGCAAAGGGGTGCCGGGACCTGAGACGCAAGCGCTGTGGTGTCTCCAAAGCGATCTTGTGGAAGAGGTGGGATGAACTTGTCTGTGCATATCAAACGAGGGCCAGCGTGGCTACTTCTCGTCTGACCTCTGTTCCTCATCCTTGAGGAGTTTGTCCATCTGTGCAGCCCTTCCCTCCTCACTAAGTGCGGTCTGAGTCACAACTTTCAGCTTCTCTTCCAGCGCCACATTGAAGGCCTTGGCCTTTATGCGTCTACAACATACAGACAGAGCTTGAGTAGTAAAGGAAGTGTGCTCTTGCTCGTGTCAGCTTGGGATTTAAACATTAATGGCGTCCTCTTCAGCTGAGCTGTAATGTTAGCTAGCTTGGTGGTGCTAGGTGAGCTAGCAGTTGATGCACACACTTCCCTGTGATACAGTTGGCAGGTGTAATTTGGTAGAAAGAAAATAGTTCCTACATGAAACTGCTCACAACAAGGTCTGTGGATTATCTTGAGTAACCAGGTCATGATTTCTGTAAAGAGACATTGATGTTGAGTTTTAAAAATTTATTTTTTTGGCGCTTTGAGCACCACAAGCTGAGTGCCATCTAGTTCCATTATATTGGAGAGAAGGCAGATGTCTCTACAGCTGATATCTCCAACACTTGGCAACACACACCAAAACAATCTAGCCTGATAAACAGCACTATAGGTAAGAGGAAAAATATGTATTTTTGATTTTTGGGTGAACTGTCTCTTTAAGATGTGTCTGTACAACATGATTATGTGTAATCACAAATAGTTTGAAAGCCAGTCATGGTCCAATATGTAACTTCGACAAGTGTGATTTGGAAACATGAAGCCTCCAGTGCACATATTAAACTCTGAGATTGGACTTTTCAGTGAAGTAGAGACATCTTGTATGCATAAGTTAAACTTTTGAAATGAAGAATGTTAGCATGTGCTTACATTATGTATTTTTGAGAGAATAAGAAAGAAGTAGAAGACGTAATTTCAAGAATTCTTAACTCGTAAGTTACTGTTCAAAGCAGAACAAGGTCTTATATTTTTCTTGTTTCATTGGTGATTCCTGTCCAATCAGTGAGGACCCTTTTACTGAAGGACCTGACAGGCATAACCCAGAATAAACAGCTGTAGTGACAATGTTTGACCAGATGATGGAGACAACGTAAACCATATATTCTTATTCAACTATTTCAAACTGGTATACCACTTTTAGTGTTGTTATTGGTGAAGTGAATAGTCCAAGTGAAGGGTCCAAACATTTTTTTTAAGAATTATTTACCATTGACTCCCATCACTTGTTGCACTTCAGCTTGAATGAAAGAAACCCTTAATAACTTTACAAATTCTGTCTGTTTTGAAGCCAAGGTTTTACTGCCTGTGAGTGAAACAGCAGCCATGATTTAAAATCATATGTCTAAATACATTTGACAAACCAAAGCACTAAACTTGTTTGTTGTGGAGAGTTGCAGCCACACAGTGGAGCAATATTGCAAAATTGTGTCATGTTCCTTTAAGAGTGGGCTGACAGCCTGACTGTGGACCAGAGATAACAGAAACACGAAGAGCTCTCACTCGGTGCTAAAAAATGTTATCGCAAAGAGTGGAGCAAGAAATGCAAAACAAAGTCTTAGATCAAATGAAATGAGAAAAGACAGGAACTAAAAACGGAACAAAGGGAAATGTGTAAATGTTTCCAGCTGTCACCAGCCAATGACAGGGCTAAGACAGATTAACAAAGCCTGTCACTGCTATGAGTAGGACCTAGAACAGTGAGGACATGTACATGAACACAGAAGCAACATCCAAACTCTACAGAGAAATCTTCTTGTAGTGTCACAGGAAATATGTAACGACAATGTGCAACAAAGCTGCATTAGCTTTAGTTTGAACTAAACCTGGTTTCCTGACAGGAGGCTGCAAGGATATTGACTGATGGTAAAAAGTGTGAGCTCACCACCCTTAGTACCAACGTCTCTTCTCGGCTCCTGGTGCTGCTTTCAAGGCTGTTAATGATCAGGTCCCATCTTATATCACAGATCTTTTACAATGACACTCAGGCCCCACAAAGTGTGTCATCAAAAGAGCCATTTGGACCAAAAATCATAAAGTATAGTGCAATAAAATATAGAAAACAAGGATGTTTACTAAACATGTTTATTCATTAGAATTTCCAGTGGGAAAATATCACAAAATAAAAAGGTGAATTTTAACAAAACTATACATTAAAGGGACAGCTCCCTCTCACCTGAAGTGGACGCCATTAATGTATACATGTCACGCTCACATGAGCCTCTTGTCCATGAGTAGATACACGCTTCCTTCTGCACAGTGATATAGTTGGTGAGTGTAGTTTGTAGTAACTGCTAGCTCACTTAGCAACACTGAGCTAGCTAACGTTACAGCTTATCTGAGGACGACGGCATTAATATTTACATATTGTGCTGTCACAAGCACAAGCCTCTCGCTTGTCTGTGAGTAGATGCACGCTTCCCTCTGAGCGGTGATATGGTTGGCAGGTGTAGTTTGATAGAAAGAAAATAGTTCCTACATGAAGCTGCTCACAACAAGGTCTGTGGATTATCTTGAGTAACCAGGTCATGATTTCTGTAAAGAGACATTGATGTTGAGTTTTTCCAAATGTATTTTTTGGGCGCTTTGAGCACCACAAGCTGAGTGCCATCTAGTTCCATTATATTGGAGAGAAGGCAGACATCTCTATGGCTGATATCTCCAACACTCTGCAACTCACAGCAAAACAATCTAGACTGATAAATAGAACTACAGGTAAGAGGGAAAATATGTATTTTTTATTTGGGGTCGAACTATCCCTTTAAAGCTCAGGGCTCAAGCCACCCATAAGAGAAAGAGGTTTCATTAACTAACCAAAGTCTCTGTGAGTGTAGTGATCCATCTTGAGATACACAGACGATCTTTGTGTTGTACAAAGACAGCAAAGAAGTGACGCCAGCAGCCTGAGCTCAGACCCGGGCTGTGTTTTCGGACAGGGCTGCAGTGTCAGTGAACCATTCAGCACCGACTGCTGCAAACTTCACCCAGCCTCCTCCACTCCACGGCCCAGGCCCTGTACAGACTCGCAGATGTCGGGACTTGTGGACTTGTAGCCGGTTTGTTGGAGTGCCAGGACACACCGGAACAGGAGCTGAGATTGACAGGTAGCGCACTCACTGGGAGGCAAACACAACCAGAGCTTTATTAATCATTTCCGTTGTAAAGTCTGAACTAAGCAACATGAAGTCAGGACAGAGGATGCTACTTTGGGATTTGACCGCTTGCCAGTCTTGTAGTGTCCGCAGGCACGCTGTTGGTTTGTTTGCAGTGTTTGCGGGGAAACTTTGCCTCGTGAGTCACAAAACTTTTATTTTTTGACACAATGTCGCGAGACAACTTTTATGGTTCCATGCTGACACTGTGCTGATGACACTGAAAGAGTTAATAACAGGAGGAAACGAAAAATGAAAGGTTAATTAAAATGTAATGATGATGAAATTGCTGAAATGAAACAGGAAAAAAGTTTTAGTGGTTCTTTGTCAGACTTAGGAATTGTCTCTTAAATAAAAAAATAAAATAAAATAAAATAAAATGATGGTGATGATGAAGATGAAGATAATAATAATAATAATAATAATGATAATAATTATGACAATAATAATAATATTATGCACTGGTTGTCTGTCTTAAATAGATTTTTAAAAATGGGTGTTTAGTGCAGGCAATGCACCAAACACAAACACTGTGATGATAAAAATTGCTGGAATGAAACATTTGAAAATTTATAAATAGATGAATAAATAAAATGGTAATAATGATAATAATGATAAGAATAAGAAAATGCACTGGTGACCTTATTTAAACAGATTAAAAGTGGATGTTTGGTGCACTTAATTCTCTTCAGAGCATTTTATATACTTCTAACTAAGAAATTATTACAACCAAAAAATCAAAAAGAAGAATATCAGAGAAGCCAGTGAACCCTTTATTTAACTATTTATAAATGCATATAAATCAGATACTAACAGAGGGGTCATCTCCCGATTCTGTAAATCTCCCCACAGTCTAAAAGTTTATTCGACAAAATATATAAAGGTCAGATGGAAAAAGGAAGGAGACCTGTCAATAACAGATGAATAATGGCAACATATCTGTGTATTTCAATGGAGAAGCACTAAATC